GAGAGAGAGAGAGAGAGAGAGAGAGAGAGAGAGAGAGAGAATGAGGAAGAAGGAAGGAAAGAAAGAAGGAAGGAAGGAAGGAAGGAAGGAAGGAAGGAAGGAAGGAAGGAAGGAAGGGAAGGGAAGGAAAGGAAGGTGGGAGGAAATAATGTTTGGGCGGGGGGGGGAGGGGGGGCAAAGCACCTACATCTGCCAGCTTCCACCTAACTTTCTAGAGAATTTTGAGGAGGTGTGCACTCACCTTTGCATTCCACCCCTGGGCCTCTGAACTGTGTCAGTCTGTTGCTGGACAGGAAGCCTCGTTTACAAGTACAGTAGTAACTTCCCACAGTGTTGGTGCAGGTGGCATAGGCTGGACACGTGGTGGTGTCCCAACACTCATTCGTATCTAGGCAGCAGAAAAAGAAGATCCTGTGTTACAGCACCAGAGTGGAGCTGCAGGGAAAACCAGTGGGAGAACAAGAAGGCAACTGTTTTTGGGTCCCCTGTGAAGATATTGAAATCCTAAATCCTGGTCCCTGAGAACATGAACTTATTTGGAAATTGAGTCTTTGTAGATGTCATTAAGATGTGAGTTAGCATTAAATATTAAAATGGAATACTATAGCAAAAAAGAAATAAAAAGATGCAAGTTAAGATGAGATCATACTGGAATAGGATGGTCCCTTAATCTGACATGATTGGTGTCCTTTATTTAAAAAAATATATATTTGTATTTCAGAGAGGAAGGGAGAGGGAGAGAGAGATAGAAACAATGATGAGAGAGAATCATTGATTGGCTGCCTCCTGCACGCCCACTACTGGGGATCGAGCCCACAACCCTGGGCATGTGCCCTTGACTGGAATTGAACCTGGGACCCTCAGGTGCGCAGGTCGATGCACTATCCACTGAGCCAAACCAGCTAGGGCGATTGGTGTCCTTTTAAGAAATGGAGGAGAGGTACAGAGACATAGGGAGAGGACCATGTGATGACGGAGGCAGAGATTAGAGTGATGGGTCTACAAGCCATGGAATGCTGGCAATAGAAGAAGTTGGGAGAGGGGCAGAGAACAGATTCTCCCCCTGGAGCCTTCAGAGGAAGTACCTGGATTTTGGACTTCTGGCCTCCAGAGCTGTGAGAGAATAAATCTCTGTCCTGTTACGACAGCCCTGAGAAACTGACACAGTGACCAAGAGTGCTCATCAAGGACCCTGAAGATCTAGGACCCTTCTTTCTCAAAATGTGGTCCATGGCCAGTGGCACCAGTAGGAAGCCTGGTGGAAGCAGAATCTCAGGCCCTGCCCAGATCTGCTGAATCATAACCCGCACTGTAACAAGATCCCCGAATGATCGGTGGACCCATGAAAGTGTGAGATACACGGACCTGGACCCTTGCTACTCCAAGTATGGTCGAAGATCAGCAGCCTCTGCCTCACCTAGGATCCCCAGGAGAGCTTGGGATATCAGATGCTGATTCAGCAGGTCAGAGGAGGCCTGAGATACACTTTAGCCAATCCAGCCCTGGAACAGGTGATTTCACCTCTGTATCTCAGTTTCCCTGTGTAACCTTCACCCTCACATTCAGTGAGTCTCTCCCGTGTTGATTCTCCCTCTCCCTCCCAACTATCATTCTGCATCTACTCACTTCTCTCCATCCCCACGGTTAAGTTGGGTACAGATCTTCCTCTGGATTGTACAATTAGTCCTACATCCCTCATCGTGCCCTGCAATCATCTCTGTATGCAAACTTGATTATCCACCCCACCCTTCCCTGTAATCCTGCCTGTTGCACCCAGAATTAAAATCTAAATTATTTAACCCAAATAGCCCCCAGTGACTAGACCCAACCACATCTTTAAGCCTCATCTCATGTCAGTCTCCATTTCTAGCTTTCCCACCACAGGGCCTTTGCACATGCTGTTCCCTTTGCCTCTGCTTTCCCTAACCAGTTCCTATTTATTCTTCAGGTCTTACTTAAATGTCACTTCCTTCAAGAAGCCTTCCCTGACTCCCCATAGCTACGTGTGCTCCTTCTTTGTGACATTCATTACAATTGTAATTGCTCAGTTATTTGTGTGGTTAGCTCTTCGCCACACTGAGATCTAGGAGGACAAAGCCACAGATAGAAGCAGACTCCAGGTGATAAGGAAGATGCTCACTTGATATTATCATTCCTGTGGTCAGCAGAATAATGGCTTCCCTGAAGATGACCACGTCCCATCCCTGGACCAGGTGAATATGTTATGCTACACCAAATGGGGGAATTAAGGTTGCATATAGAATTAAGATTGCTGATCAGATGACCTTGATATGGAGGTCATCCTGGATTATCGAGGAGGAGCCAATGTAATCACAGTGTCTTTTTAAGTGAAGGATGAAGGCAGGAGAGGCAGAGTCAAAGTGATGCAATGAGAGACAGCCTTGGCCAGCCATTGCTGGCTGTGAAGATGGAGGAGGGGGGCACGAGCCCAGGGATACAGTTGACCTCTAGCAGCTGGAAAAGGCAAGAAAACAGATTCTCCCCCAGGACCTCCAGAGAGGAACTCAGCCCTGCCAACGCCTTCATTTCAGCCCAATGAGACCCATGTTGGACTTCTGACCTCCAGAACTGTAAAATAATGTTCTTGTTGCGTTAAGCCACCAAGTGTGTGGTCACTTGTTACAGCAGTAATAGGAAACTGATCCAATTCCCACTGCATGGATGTGGAAAACAGGCTCAGAGAGGTTAAGTGACCTGCCCAAGGACACACAGCTGGTAAGTGGCAGCGCCACGCCTGTCAACCCCCCAAAATGCATGATTTCCACCACTGCTACACAAGAAGAAGTAAGTCTGGCTGGAAATGGAAGACATTTTCATGCCCTTTCTAAGACAATTCTATAGAAAAACCTGTAGAATTGGTTGTTTCAAGTCTGTTGCCCTGATGGACTATGAGCTCCCAGAAGGCAGCGGTTTGTGTCTCGTTTACTGCCATGTCCTAAATGCATAGAACAGTGCCTGGGACACAGTTGTTGCTCAGTCATAAAGACCTTACTGAGAAGGTCACATCAGAGCAAAGACCTGAGGGAGGTGAGTGAGTGGGCTAGGGAGCTATTTAAGGCAGAGGAAAAGGTAAGGATAAAGGATGATTTCATGGAATTCCAAGGAGGCTGGTGTGGTTGGAGCAGAGCAGATGAGGGATGGCCAGATCATGTAGGATCTACAGCTTTCGAGCCACATGCGGCAATTTGGCCCCTTGAGTGTGGCTCTTCCTAAGCCTTAGGAGTACCCTAATTAAGTTAATAATGTACCTACCTATATAGTTTAAGTTTAAAAAATTTGGCTCTCAAAAGAAATTTCAATCGTTGTCCTGTTGATATTTGGCTCTCTTGACTCATGAGTTTGCCGACCACTGTGCTAGACCATTGTAAAGCTTCAGCTTTTTATCAGAGAGAGATGGGAGCCCTGGGAGAGTTTAGAGCAAAGGAGGGAAACAACATGACAGGTTTTACATGACCTTCTGGCCACTGGTGGGAAAGATGAACTGGCGAGGGCCCAAGGCAGTATGACAAGGCAGGAGGCATCTGCACTTGTCCAGGTGAGTGGTGGGAGCAACGGGAAGCAAGAGATTCCGGATTTATTCTGAAGGTAACGCCAATAGGATTTGCCAGTGGGTTGGGTAGGGGGCGTGAAAGAAAGAGAGGGGTCAACAATATTGCCGACATCAACTGGTAGGATGGGATATCACAGGAAAGCTCTTTATAAAAAGTGCTATGAAAACGTCATAGATGAATGATCATGATTAGGATCTTGAGAGCCAGGGTTTTTTGCCTTCTGCAAATGTTTTGTTATTTCCCTTTCCTGCACTCAGATTGTATCTTTCTTCTCATTTCCAGCTTCCTCTTTCATCTGCAGAGCCAACCTTTCTCTCTGCAGACTTCCGGCACATCGCCACTTGCGGTCTCTCCGCTCAGCTCCCCAAAGCTTTCTTCCTCTAGCGCTATCTGCCCAGCTCAAGTCCGCCGCTACGCAGAACAGCAGCCCAGTCCCCTGAGCCTGAGCACCTGCCAACCTCTCCAGCTCACCTCCTGCCCTGTCCCATCAGCCGTGCTCACCTTTGCTCGGTTCCCCAAGTCCTTTCCTGACTCAGGACCGGTGCACCTCACCCGGCAGATCTTGGGACTTGCCAACCGCTGTAACCAAGTGAGCCAACTCCTTGTAGTATATCTTTATATATATGAATGCATATATCAAGATATATAGATGTCCATCCTGTTGGTTCTGTTTCTCTGGAGAGCCCTGACTAATACAAATACCTACTATCTGCCAGGATTCTTCTAGGCATGGTAGACTCAACAGTGGAACAAGACACACAAAATTATCAACCATCACAGAGCGGATAATCCAGAGAGGAGCAGGTGAGTCATACAATGTCAAAAATAGGGTAGTCACTGCAAAGATGACACATGGGCTGAAACACAAAGATAATGCTGGAGGGATCCAGGTGTTTAGACAAGGCAAGAGCATCCCAGGTAAAAGGCCTAGTATATGCAAAGGTCCTGAGGCAGGACTGGGCCTGGTGTGTGGGAGGAACAGCAATGAGGCCCATGTGGCTGGAGCAGAGGGAGGGAGGGAGGAGGTGAGGGCAGGGAAAGGATGGGACAGGTCATGCAGGGTCTGGTGGGCCTTGGGGAGAACTTTGGCTCTACCTTGAGGGAGGTGGGAGCCCTACAGGGCTCTGGGCAAAGGAAGGACAAGACCAACTCAGATGCTCACAGGTGCTATCTGGCCGCTGCTGGGAGGGCAGAAAGCCGGGAGAACAGGCCAAAGGCCACTCAACAGCCCATCTGAGACACACACGATGCTCAATCATGAGCAAAACAACTTAACTGGTGGTCACCTCATTAACCTAAGCAAAAAAAAAGTGGCTTAGAGAGGCAGAGAGCTTTTATTTATTTATTTATTTTTAAATATATTTTATTGATTTTTACAGAGAGGAAGGGAGAGGGATAGAGAGTTAGAAACATCGATGAGAGAGAAACATCGACCAGCTGCCTCCTGCACACCCCCTACTGGGGATGTGTCCGCAACCAAGGTACATGCCCTTGACCGGAATCAAACCTGGGACCTTTCAGTCCCCAGGCTGACACTCTATCCACTGAGCCAAACCGGTTAGGGCAAGCAGAGAGCTTTCAAAGTATAACCAGAACTTTCCTTTCGTAGGTCCCTTCCACGCATTTTCTACAGTCTCCACAATAACACTGCAAGTCTTTTTCCAGGGCCCTCAGGGTGTTAGCACCCAAAGTCCAGTGTCCTGGGTCCTCACGCCCCAAGTCTGGGACCAGTTGGGATTGTCGGTCAGCCTACTTTTGGTACCTGCTCCCACCGCAGGGCACAGATGTGGGAAGGGAGGCCCAGGAGCACAGGTTC